GTGCCAGGATTTTTAAGGCCTGCATGAATAATTTTCTAGAGGGTTTTCCAGAAACTATTCCCTATCAGGGAATGGCTGCTGTCCAATATGTTTTGTCATTTTTTTTCTTTATTAACAAACTTAAAAAATTATTATTACTTAAAAAATTATTATTACTATCAGACACAGGAATGTACATCTGGTATGTTCTTTGAATAACAATATGTTGAACCCCATGATAGTTCATGAGGTACAAGACAGAGTTGGAGTCAGTATAGTTTAAATTATCTCTTAGGAGAAGCTTCCTTTTTATAAGATCGAGTCTTAGGTGGGAAGATGAGTTGAATTTAAGTTCTTCACTATTCTCTCCTTTTTTGGCATTATTGCATTTTTCTTTTTTCCCAGATGAAACACTTCACTAAGTTTATTGCATTTGCTAATTAGATTAGCAATTACCAATTAGATTAAATTTAAATGTACCAATCAAATTTTATATCTAAATTTGTTACATTATCACTAATTAGAATAGCACTTTTTACTTAATGGATTACATGTGAATTAAAACAACTCAGGCCATTTTTAGGGCCTACGTATATTTTACTAATTGGCATAGGAATCATTAGCTTATATTTAAATTTAGTAAAGGGTCATGTGACAATTCACATGTATGTGAAAAAAAGGAAAAAATATTAGGTAAATAAGAGTTACTTTAATTCAAAATTGTCTAATTTCATCCAAGTTTGAGATGAGTAATGCTTTTGAAGACATATAATCATGCTTTTGAAGACCAAGTCCTCTAATAAGAACAAGCAGAACTTAAGATGTATTAAAAATACTCAGAGAACACTTTTTAGGAATGTGGTTCTTTCATCTGGCAGTTATTGACTGACAGGCCTTTGGTATGGTAGTATCTGAGGATGCAATGGCTATGCCAGGGGCATGTAAATGAAGTTACAATTTTTAAAATTTTTGTTGGGTTTTGACATGTGGACTTTGAAAATCACTCAAAAATCTATTTGTTTTCACTGACTTTTAACAAATATTTTGTAAACCATTTTACTGCCAGATGTTTTCTTACTATCATATTAGAGATGCATCAAAGAAAACGTAAAATCTTAGCACCATGTTAAGTATACATTTATAATGAAGACAATATCCCATAACATGATTGCTTTAACACCTTACTGTATTCACCACGTTAATTATAGTAACTAATATTAATATACTTTTGTCTGACTATACTTATCACTTTTAATGGTTAGTTTAGTTAAGTACAAGAGTTTATATTGTTTAGCATAGTTCTTGAGTCCTGGGCCATACAGGAACACGAATCAAAAGAAATAAATCCTTAGTCAATAAGTCAATTATAAATTTGTATAAATCCTGAAATTGTATTCTGCCTCGTAAGGCTAATATTACTTAATACACTCTAGCTCTTTGTTTGTAGTTATGGCCATAATATGGTAAAATATTACGTAAATTTACAAATTAGCAAATGTATGTATTTTAAGATACTGATAATTAAAAAGGAAGTCTCCAACCAATTTGGGTAACAAATGTATAATATTCTGTTCTTTATATCTCAAATTAGTCATTGTGTATACCTTTTCCTGAGTGGTTGATATTTGCATATCTGTCTTTCTGCAAAGGAGTCTTTTATGGGATCCATCTAAGGATCTGGCATATAAATAGTTAAGCAGTAGTTCTCTCTGTCTCTCTTGTCTATTTGGCTCTGTCTCTGTCTCTGTCTTTGTCTCTTTCTCAGTCTACTCAGTTTTGGTAGAACTTCTCCTGGGAAGAGAAATTGACACAGTCGAATCTTTTATACATCTTAAGGATGGAACTTTTGGCAAACAAATGAATAATACTTGCTAGAATTCCTATCTATGGGATGCTTTTAGCAGGTTGGACAAGGTTGTCTGTAATAGGTCATGGTAAAAAAAAATATAGAACTGTGTATTCATGGGGCAGCTGTCCGCAAAATGTACCGTAAGCCGTGTAACAGAAGGTGCAGATGTTTTATCTTCCTGACAACTCTACTATGTAAAGTATGTAGGTGTATACATTATCCTGGATCTCTGCTATTGGCCTGTATATTGAGATGATTTATATCATCAAAACTATTAGTAAAACTATATGATTGGGTCAGGACTCTGAGCCTTGTGAGTGAGACTTAACAATTTGATCCTTTGTGTTATCATAGTACACACATAATATTTTAGGTTAACTACATGGCAGACTAAGGATTAAAACAATTACATGGTTATATGAAAAATATGAAGCCATAACCACTAAATGTAGCTACTATTTAAGCTTATGGGAAAATGATTAGATCTGGTCTTGGTCACAAATATTCCTAAACATTTGCCCAATATTTAAGAATCCAATAGGGGTGGCTGGGTGGCTCGGTTAGTTGAGTGACCAACTCTTGGTTTCAGCTGAGGTTGTGATCTCACAACTCTTGGGCTGGAGCCCCACATTGGGTTCTGCACTGATAGCTCTGAGCGTGCTTGCGATTCTCTCTCTGCCTCTCCCCTGCTCATTCATTTTCTCTCCCTCTTCCCCCCCTTCCACTCATCTCTTAAAATAAATAAATAAACAAACTTAAAAAAATAAGAATCCAATAGTTATTGTGCTCTAAAGAGCCTTTGTCTATTAAATCTAAATATGATTCAATTCAAATTTTATTAGGATTTGTGGAAAATGGACTATAGTAAAAAAAAAAAAAAAAGCCATTTGTTTTTTTGCCCTGAATTTATCCAGGACAGGGGTAAAGAATAGAAAAGGAGAAAAACTCAAGTGAAAATACTAATTTTCACTTACCTGTTTCAATGCTATTATACCATATCCTCCATTTCCTTTAAGTTTTGACCTTTATTTTTACTTTTATTATTTTATTCCTCCTTGATGTTTCTCCCACTTAACCATAGGCTGTTTCTTCTTAACCATATTCATCTCCTACATATTTCTCTCCCTACAGACAACCTCTGTTGAATTTGAGCATGTGTCTTTCTGGTTGTGATACACATAAATAAACTCATCATATGCATAAAATTTTAAATTTCTTGTTTTATTTTTTAAATGTTTATTAATTTATTGAGAGAGAGAGAGAGAGAGAGAGAGAGAGAGAGAGAATGAATCAACCCCAAGCAGGCTTCATGCTGTCAACACAGAATCCTATATGGAGCTCAATCCCACGAACTGTGAGATCATGACTTGAGCCCAAATCAAGAGTTGGACACTTAACCAGCTGAGCCACCCAGGCGCCCTTCAGTTTTTTAATGGCACAAAAACAGGCAAATCTATTAAGTATTTTTTTAAATGTTTTAATAAATTATAGTGTGCCTGGGTGGCTCAGTTGATTAAGTGTCTAACTCCTGATTTTGGCTCAGGTCATGATCACTCAGATTTGTGAGATCAAGACCCAAGTCGGGCTCCATGCTGAGAAAACCAAACTGGATTGGCATTCTCTCTCTCTGCTCCTCCCCTACTCTCTCTCTCTAAAAAATTAATTTAAAATATTGTGGGGCGCCTGGGTGGCGCAGTCGGTTAAGCGTCCGACTTCAGCCAGGTCACGATCTCACGGTCCGTGGGTTTGAGCCCCGCGTCAGGCTCTGGGCTGATGGCTCAGAGCCTGGAGCCTGTTTCCGATTCTGTGTCTCCCTCTCTCTCTGCCCCTCCCCCGTTCATGCTCTGTCTCTCTCTGTCCCAAAAATAAATAAAATGTTGAAAAAAAAATTAAAAAAAAATATTGTATTTACTATCATGAAGTACAGCTTTAAAAAAAAGGAAAAAGCTTAATATTTAGGGTGATACCATTTCCACAATTTGGATTTTGAGGAGAGATTTTCCCTAAAATCATCTGACTCCTTTCCAGTCTTTCTCCCTTTGCCTTCTTCCCATCCCTGCTCAGTTCTGTCCAGAAGAGCAACAGAGTAAAAACCTCACCAGGCTCCCAGACAGCATGAGTTAGCTTCTCCTTCATGTTCTAAGCCTTCCTGGGTCATCTGTTAAGCCCTCATGGCAGTGTCTGCCTGAGACCGGTTATCCAATGATTGACTAATTGTGTCTGTCTCATGCTGGCATGCACTATTGGATTGAAATATTTCACTCCCACATTGAGGTATATGCCCTAATTTACCCTGTATTGAGGTTAATGATAACATACTACACTCAAATATCATTCTGTTCAGGAATAAAGTGAGGGAGAGGGTGGGAAACCTAATTATTAGTTTCCTTTAAAGACCTCAATGAACCATTATTTAACCTGACAAAGACAATTAGTTTGCTTCTAGATTTAAGTGTTTACAATAAATTTGTAATAGATATTACTTGTAGCTGTATTTTTGCATATTTGTGTTTTTAACCTGTAGGCTAAATATTTTTTTTAAGTTTATTTATTTTGAGAGAGAGTGTGTGAGTAGGGGAGGGACAGAGAGAAAGGGAGAGGGATAATCCTAAGCAGGTTCCATACCATCAGTGCAGAGCCCAACGTGGGGCTTGATCTCACAAACTGTGAGATCACGACCTGAGCCAAAATCAAGAGTTGGACGCCCAATCAATGGAGCCACCCAGGCGCTCCTAAATTTCTCAAATTAAAATTGCTCAGCCAAAATTTTTTGCACATTTAAAATTTTTATAGATATTTCCAAGGTGCTATTTAGAATTTTCACTAATCTATTACACTCACAACAATAATGTAAAAAAAGTTTTTTTTCTATGATGTCTGAAAAGTTGGTTATTCATTTTATTTTCATAGGGCTGAACAAAGTATTGTTCATTTACTGTCATCTATCTGTAAAATTCATATTTGTGTCCTGTACTGTGTATTTTAGATTTTTCTTTTAAAATTTATGTGTAAAGACTTATATTAAAGAAGTTTATTCCTTCTCCTCATATGTATTGCAGACAGTATTTTTGAGCTATCATTTATTTTTGACTTCTCTATATATGTGTCTTTAACATATGTTCTTATTTTTTATGTATTTAAATTTCTTACTGTTTTTTATTTATGGCTTCAGGATATCATATTTAGAAAATCTTTTTTTTTCACTTCAAAATTATACAATAGCTATCATTTTCTTAACTTTCACAATTTTCTCTTCATTAAACAAGAAAGTGGGGGTGATGTAATAAACCTAGTTGTTTTCACATTTTTCTTCCTATAAAAGTTGAATAATACCTGAGGTTGGAACAGAGATAGCAGAGAGTGAAGCAACTTGAACCATCTTAAGCTCCTAAAAAAGACAAAAATACAGAAAAAAGAATGCATAAATAAGAAATCGTGGGAAAACAGAATTCAGACATATTTGTGATAGGGAGGAGTTGATAAGCCTCTCTCAAAAAAAAAAGGATAATTCAAAATATTGAGTGTTTCCTGCTATGTAATGCAGCTATAGAAAGAAAAAGCTGATAATAGGTGGTATTTTCCTTAACGCTGAATGATGGGAAGATTGTATCTATTTTCATTTCAATTTGCTCTGATTTCCAAAACAGCTTTAAATGTAATACTCTACTTTATTTGTAGCTTAGCTACCAATAATTCAGACTTCTGCATGCATAAGGAGTACATTACCATCCAAACGTACTTACTCGTGCTAGTAAATCATATGCTAAATGTTATTTTCAAGTATGGAGTATTCTAATTTGTCATATACCATCATAACTTTAAGTTGGATTTAGCTTTAGGGTCAAGATAGATGATAATTTTTAAAAATTTTAAATCAATTTAGTACTTTTTCTGTGTAGTGTTCATAATAAATACAAAAATGTTAAAATTTTATAATTTTAATGTTTGAGAGAAAAAGAAAGAGTGGGAAAGAGACAGAGGGAGAGAGAGAGAATCCCAAGCAGGCTCTGCACTGTCAGGGCAGAGCCCAGTGCCAGGCTTGAATTCACAAATCGTGAGCTCATGACCTAAGCTGAAATCAAGAATTAGATGCTTAACCGACTGAGCCACTGACGTGCCCTCAAATTAAAAAATTTTAGGGGCGCCTGCGTGGCGCAGTTGGTTAAGCGTCTGACTTCAGCCAGGTCACGATCTCGCGGTCCGTGAGTTCGAGCCCCGCGTCAGGCTCTGGGCTGATGGCTCAGAGCCTGGAGCCTGCTTCCGATTCTGTGTCTCCCTCTCTCTCTGCCCCTCCCCCGTTCATGCTCTGTCTCTCTCTGTCCCAAAAATAAATAAACGTTGAAAAAAAAATTTAAAAAAAATTTTAAAATCAAGTATTTTACATTCATTGGATAAAAATTCAAATTTAAAATACTAAACACTAAAAGTATTAGAGGAAATTTTATATCGTTCTGGTGGATGACCTGATGTGGAAAAAACAGCAATTTAGAGGAAGTAGACACAATTAACTATATAGGACTAATTTTATTATTTTATTTCATTGTATTTTGGTATGGGAAACAACTCCCATAAAATGTTTTATAGCAAGTAATAGAATACATATTTAAAATGCATATAAAGGGGTGACTGGGTAGCTCAGACGGTTAAGTGTCTGACTCTTGATTTCAGCTCTCAGTTTGTGAGTTTGAGCCCCATGTCGGGCTCTGTGCTGACAGCTCAGAGCCTGGAGCCTGCTTCAGATTTTGTGTCTCCCTCTCTCTGCCCCGCCCCTGCCCACATTCTGCCTTTCTCTCTCTCTCAAAAATAAACAAACATTAAAAAAATTAAAAATAAATAAAATTATGTCAGGAATATAAACCATTTTTGATTAATGTCTGTATTGATATTTATTTTACACCTCATTTTGAAAAACAAAATATATATGCATGTATACATGTATATGTATCAAGATATAAATAGATGTATAGAAATATATTGCAGCATTGGCTTGCTGAAAAGATACAGGCAAAAATTTGAATGTCTGTCAATATTTACCAAGACAGAGGGGCACCTGTGTGGCTCAGTTGGTTAAGCGTCTGACTTTGGCTCAGGTCATGATCTCATGGTTCCTGGGTTCAAGCCTTGCCTGGGACCCTGTGATGACAGCTGAGAGCCTGCAACCAATTTGGATCTCTTCCTCCCTCTCTCTGTGCTCCTCCTACGTTCATGTTCTCTCTCTCTCAAAAATAAACATTTCAAAAAATTAAAAAAAATATTTACCAAGACAGAAATCAATAGGCCATGTAAAGATACTGCATAATATTTTGAAGCTATTACAAAAAAAAAAAAGTGGTAGTTCTATATCTATTGACCTGATAAACTGTAAGTAAGAAAAAGGAAAGTATGATTCCATCTTTGTAAAACAGTAACAAAATGCTTAAAGTGTGTGTGTGTGTGTGTGTGTGTGTGTGTGTGTGTGTGTATACATGGATTAGTGTTACTGATGAAAACATATCAGTCTGTCAATATTTGTTAGAGAGCAGGTGGAGAGGGCATTTGAGGTTAGGAATTTTATAACACCTATTTACTTAATTCATTGTTTAAATGTTTACAGAGCATAGATTTCTTTTTCTTTTTTCATTTTTTAACATTTATTTATTTTTGAGAGACAGAGACAGAGCATGGGGGGGAAGGGCAGAGAGAGAGGGAGACATAGAATCTGAACCAGGCTCTAGGTTCTGATCTGACAGCACAGAGCCCGACGTGGGGTTCCAACCATGGACCGCGAGATCATGACCTGAGCCAAGGTTGGACGCCTAATCAACTGAGCCACTCCGGCTCCCCACAGAGCATAGATTTCTACCATTGTAAATATTGAAGAGAAATTAAGAAATGAGGAAATAAAAGACAACTGGAATAAAAGTAAATATTTAAGAAAATTAAGACATGAAAGATTTTTAAAATTATCATCATTATTATTATAAACAATAGTTTTGGATTCCTAACTTTTCTTTTAAAAATTTGTACTTTTATTTTAAAAAAATCACCCAGAAAATAAGAAGTTAATAAATCTATCATGAATTGGACATTTCCACCAAAATATTTGAATATAAAAATTAAAATGTGTATGCTGTTATCATAAAATACATGACAAAAATATGTTTAACCTACATAGAAATTTCTTTCAATCTACACTGGGATGCATTCATCCTTATATTAGTTTTCAAATTGAACTTAAAACATATGTATAATTAAAGGGTTAACAATGTGCTGGTTGCTAAATTCAATTCAGATAAATTAAGGAATAACTGTGCATTTGAATAGATTATCACTTTGAACTATGTTTTCTTCCAATTAGGATGATTTTAAATGAATCTTATAATTTTCTAAAATAAAAATAACTATATCTGGACATTATTGATTTTCTAGTTGCAGAGTATTAAAGGAATCTTTTCTTTCCCAGGGATATCATTAGTCATAGTCTTACTTCACACAGGTCTGAACTTGGTTCAGTTCAGAATCCTACCTAGAAATATTGAGCCTTCCACCACGACTACTGCCTACTCCTACGTACTCAGTAGGTGCTAAGATGCTATATGGGTGGGGGAAATGGAAATACAGAAAACATAGATTCATACAACAAAAGTTTATCCCAGTCACACAGTCTGAGTGGCAGATAAAAGCAGATCTGATTTGCTGTTCTCCTGAGCACGTTTCCCAGAAATGCCACATATCAACAGTTTTAACGGAAAATGTGTTGACAGGAAAGTTATTAAAACCTTTATAAAGGTAGAGAAAATGTGTAAAAGTTAAACCTGCAGGCTGTCAGAGAATTGTGCTATTTGTTACTGCTTTTTCCCAACTAGTTCATTGCACAGACCCTTCTGAGACCTGTCCCTTGACTTAATTCTTCTAATGGTGAGACCCGACTGTCCTAAATCCACCCACCTTTCCCCAACCCAAATATCAAAAAAGCATCTGGGGCTCCATGGAGCTCAGTTAAAAACAAAGCACCAAAATCACTGTTAAAATTTTAGGCCCAGCACATAATAGCTTTCTGTAATTTTTGAGTTGGAGAAATCTGAAATTGCAAATGGATTTTGGAGAAGTCTGGATGCAAAAGTTTATATGAAGTCTCCTCCTTTGTTAACTGTTCTTCAATTCACATTGACCATATTCATTAGATTGATGACTGAATTACTGACTTGTTCATTAGTTCAAAATTTACTGAATGTATTGGATTTCTCCAGAGAAACAGAACAAATAGTACACACACACACAGGGTGGGGAAGTAGATGAGAGATTTTAAGAAATTATCTCATGTAATTGTGGGAGCTAGCAAATCTGAAATTTTTACAGCATTATGGCAGGTTGGGGACCTAGGGAAGAGTTTATATTTTAGCTCAAGTCTGAAGATAATCTGGAGGTCAACTTTCTTCCTGTTTGAAGGATCTCATTCTTTTGTCTAAGGCCTTCAACTGATTGGATGAGGCTCACCCATATTGTGGTAGGTAATCTCTTTTACTGAAAGTCTACTGATTTAAATATTAATCACATCAAAACAAGTTACTTTCACAGCAACATCAAGACTGGCAGTTGACCAAACATCTGGACACCATAGCCTAGCCAAGTTGACACATAAATTTAACCTTCACACTGAGTTTCAAATATAAAAAGCCTAAGAATCTGTTGAGCGCATAACCTCATCAGTGGAGATTGAAAAGGTAGGGAAGGGGAGATGAGAGACAGACACAAGGTCAACTTGCAATAGGAGAAGGAAAGTAACAGATACTTACAAAATGTCAAGGGAGCTGAGAGTAAGGAAGTGAATAATTTTGCCTGAATAAAAAAGAGGTGCATTGATGCTCAAGATGCTTACCTCTTGTCCAGAAATTTGGCCCAGAAGAGCAATTCCTTTAGTCAGAGAGAAATTTAAAGAGATGTGTGAAGCTCTACCTTGGGGCTCATGTGGAACTTGTTCTGGGATCAGTTCCAAAATATTTGCAAACTTAAGCTGGGATTCAATTTTATAGTGAAACCTAATATGCATCAGGATCTTTCTTAGTTTGAGGCGTTGTCTTTAAAAATCTCCTTCCCCCAGATAGATTTTATTTTGTAAGGATTATATATGACTATTTGTTTGATTAAATGTGCACAGTTTTTAGAAGCCTGTTTTTTCAACTGCCTTAGACCGTGAGCTATGCAGTTTTTCCATTTGAAATTTTCATAGTAGAATATTTGCTTCAGCAAATTGCAAAGTTTTTTTGTTGCAGAGTTTTGGCAGCTAAATTCACTCTGAGCACAGTGGGCTGTCTTTCTTCAGTACACTGCATTAGAGAAACAGTTCTACACCCTGAGGGTTTTGGAGTTTCTTTGTTCAGCAAAGAATTGAATCATATCCCTGAAAGGGGATCTATGTCTTTCAAGCCTTAGTTTAAATGATCATTGACAAATCAAGCTAGACACTAATTAGCTCTCCTATTGAAATTAACGTATTTTATATGTATTAATGTGAATATCAGAGGAGACACCCTGTCAATCTAGATTTCATAAAGGAATGTTACATACTTTCCAAATAATTTGTACTGGCAAAGGTTTCTAGTATTCAGTCTCATCCTGAATTAGTTTCCTTCTTTCTGTTTGTGGTCTGGTCACACTGGCCCTCTAGTTCCTTGATCTCTTCGATACTTTTCCACCTTAAGGCCTTGGTACTTCCAGTTCCATTGGGCCTAGAAAACTATTTTTCTTCTTCTCTCAGGACTTTCATCTCCTCATCTTTAAAGTCTTCTATTTGACCTGCTAAAAGAAGCTATCTTTGGCCATCCCATTGCTAACTATCTTTCCCACCAGCCCCTTCTCATCTGTGGGCCACTGCTCTCTATCACAAGCATACTCTTTATTTCCATAAAGGCCCTTATCATCATATTAAGGTATTTTGCTTACTTTTTCATCTTCTCAAAGACTGTTTTCTCCGCTAGGATGTACACTTGATTAGAACAAATAACTTGCCTTTTTTTCGAAGCTGCATCCTTAACACAAACTATAAACAAATTCAGTCTTCTTGATGAACTAGTGGAAAGAAAAGTGTTCATGACAATCAAATTAAATGTTATTACAAGTAAAGTTCTTAGAAAAAGTCAGGTATGTAATACAACTATAATTTCTGCTTTATCTTAAATGAGATGTCAATAATAATAAACATCAGACTCCAATGTAATGTGGGATAGATGGCCATATGCAGAGTTTACAAAAGGGAATGGTCCACATCCTTGGACCCTTAAGCCATATCAGGGATACAGTAAAAGAGTCAGACTGTAGGGAAGTCAAGAAGACTTGAAATTATTTTTTTGGGCCAAGTTGTTGCTTTACTGGTCCCCTGGCCTCCCCACTTATTCACCCCTCTAAAACCTATAGAGGGGACACAAATAGATTGGTCTGAAATTTGGGAGATACCTAGGGGCAGACCCAGGAAATTCAGGTTCCTGAGGAGCAGGATGAAAATGACATCTTTGAGAGTGACTTACATTGTCAGAAATATTTGGTGCTGGAGGTAAGCTTAGAAAAGAGTCACAGTGGGGCGCCTGGGTGGCGCAGTCGGTTAAGCGTCCGACTTCAGCCAGGTCACGATCTCGCGGTCCGTGAGTTCGAGCCCCGCGTCAGGCTCTAGGCTGATGGCTCAGAGCCTGGAGCCTGTTTCCGATTCTGTGTCTCCCTCTCTCTCTGCCCCTCCCCCGTTCATGCTCTGTCTCTCTCTGTCCCAAAAATAAATAAACGTTGAAAAAAAAAATTTAGAAAAAAAAAAAGAAAAGAGTCACAGTTACCCAGGATTGGAATAGAGATACCTGTGCCTAGGTCCAGGAATTGACAGAAGAGTCCCTGAACTGCAAAGAACCTAAGAAACCCCAAAAGAGAAAGTATCAGCTTTGAACATCTACCAAGTCCACAGAGCATAAAGCCAACACCCAAGGAAAATGATGAAAATAAAGAATTGCTTTTCCATTCTTTACTTTTTCCCAGCAGCCCTCCCACCCCACCCCACCACCCCCACCAATACAGCTTTGCAAGTACCTACCTTCCCATGCTTTCATCAGCCTTAGCCAAGGTCCATGTCATTGGTTAGGAAGGGTAGAACAGTAGAGCAGGGAGAGAGTAGAGATGCTGACCTCACCTCTATCCAAAAAGGCAGACAGTGTCTATTATAAATATTAGCTTGAAGGTGGTTGAAAAGTTCTGATTTTAAGTGGAGATTAAAGCAGTTGAATAACCGCTAAATTGTACTGCAGCTGGAGAAATGTCTGTTGACCAAGATAAAGCAGGTAATTCATGGGATTTGACTAAATTTGCATCCATGGGAGGAAAAGATTATCCCCACTGAATAACTTTTAAAGGGTCAGAGAGATAAATAAATCAAGTGTTGATCATATCATGAATCAGGTATTTCAATATACCAGTACCGGGAAATTTTGTTATCCTCATTATTCTTTTAAAATTTATGGGTGAAATTTGTCTCTTTTTCAATTCATTTTCCATACAACAGCTATTTTTAAAATCTCAAATAAGATTATGACAATCTCCTGCTTCAAACCCTCCAACTGCCCTTTAATTCCTTTAGAATAAAATCTAATCTCTCAACCACAGCATATAGGATCTCTATGTTTGGCTGTTGCCTAATTCACTGACACTTTTCCTTCTACTCACATGTCCAGTCTTTGTTCTTTAAAAACACTGCCTTATTTTTTATCCGTAGAACACTCCAGGCTTGTTTCCTCCTGAAAGTGCTGTTTCTCCACCCCCAAATGCTCTAGCACCTGATTCCGTGGCTGTTTCCTTGGGCACTCGGGTCTTTAGCACAAATATTCCCTCTGCAGTTAGAATTTTTCTGACATCATAAATTAGACTTTGTCCCCATCCCCCCACTGTGGGTCCACTCTACCATTCTCTACTTCACCAACTAGTTTTATTTTCTTCATATGATTTATCATTATGTAAGATTTTTTGTTTGCTTGTTGTGGTCTGTGGGTTGCATCCGATTATAGACTGCTTAAGAGGAGTGAATAAATTGGTTTTGTTTACCACTAAATCCCCTGGGATGTGTTCAATACATTTGGTTGGATGAAGAATCGAAACCAAAACATTTCTTCAATTAAAAGTGAAATTATCATAGAGTTGAATTTATTTTTCTTTTAAAATAATATGTGATCTTAAAAATAAGCCTTGTACATGTAACTTACTTTTTGATGTCATAGCTTTAAATTTGTGTCTTTATTTTCGTGATCATTCAGTTAGTAATATATAGGCTACATATGAATATACTCATAAAAAATCAAACATCACTATCTTCTACGCAGCATCAAGCATTTAAGAATTTTTTAATAAAGTAGACTTATGGCTATCCAAAATAGTTGGCCAATAGGATAAGGCAGTCATAGAATACTTTGATTAACTGTGTATTATCATCTGGAACAGGCATTGATGATCTCCGGAATCAGAATAAATAAATCAATTTAGGGGCACTTCATGGCCTCTGACTCTTGGTTAAGCATCTGACTTTTGATGTCAGCTCAGGTTATGATCTCCCGGTTCGTGGAGTGGATAATGAGGATAAAGAATTGCCTTTTCCATTCCTAACTTTTTCTTAGCATCCCAGGCTCCATGCTGACATCACGGGGACTGCTTGTGATTCTCTTCTTCCTCTCTCTGCCGTCTCTCTGCTCACGTACTCTCTCAAAATAAATAAACTTAAAAAAAAATAAAATACAGCAATTTAAAACAGAAGGGAGGTCTTTCTGTTGTTTTAAGGACTCCAAATGTACTCTATAATTTTGCTGAACATTCTTAAGAATACTGTGGAATGACAGGTATTGGTGCTGGAGAGGCTTTTAGGACCCACTGCAGTTCTAAGGGAGCACTTGTTCCTTCCTCTTGACTTCTAATAAGTAAAATGAGTAGAAGTGGGAGTAGCACTGAATTGCATGTTTCTTATCTTCATATTGAAAGTGCTACATAATCTTAACATTCTAGGAATAGAAAGCTACTTCATAGACAAATTTTATCTCCTTCTCTTGATATCTCAATAGAAATTACTTAATTTTAGTACCCTCCCCCCTCACTTCTGTAAACTTCCAGAGCTGGATTAGTCTACTGGGTTACTGGAAAGATGAAATATGAGTGTGCCTAGCAAGCGTCTAAGCGGAAATGCTACTGGAGTTCTAACTTGCTCTTGTCATTAGTTAAATGTTAAGCTCATAAATTGCTGTATGTTTATAAATGTCTTCTTAATATCACTCAAATTATGTGGCAGAAAACATCATAAAATGGTACAGTGGCTCTTTACCATTTTACCGATTTTATTATTTAAGTAAAACTTGATCTTATTTCATCATCTGTAAAAACAGAGAAAAGAAAGCACTGGTCTCCAAGGTGATTTTTCATGAGGATCAAATGAGATAATGTATGTCACAGTGTTTTTGTTCCTATAAGAGACTGTATTTTCATTTAACATGACTTGCACTACGTTGCATTTCAGTTAATGTTTTTATTTCGGTTTCGCACAGTGGTGAGTGCTAAGTTATTAGACAGGCAAATGGTTTTATTTTAAAAGGTTTTATTATGTTTTGTGCATCTATGTCAATATTTAACAATGGTCTTGGCCTGATATGTGAGAGAAAAGAGTGAGGAGGGATTACAACATATCCAAAATCATCTTTAGAGAAAAAAAATCTAATATATGGGTGATGAAATAAGTAGTTTAATATTTTGAGAGTATTATTTTAAAGTATTTTCCACTTACTGTTCTTAGAGAGTTGGAGGGTGGAAAGCAGTTCTTATAACCGGCTCTGCTGCGGCCAGCAGAAGTGTAGGAAGGAAAATGCCACCACCAGAAGGGAGAATAAGACTTGCAAAAAATTTTGCCCAGAGGGGAAAGCAGAGCAGATAACCAGCACCATTTGACCCTCCTGTAATTGTGGGAAGAATTGGGTACAAAGAAAGGGAAGCACTCAGCGACACCTTTTTGTCATGATCCTTCTGCTCTGGGCCAAATTTCACTTCTAAGGAGAAGAGAGCTGCTTTCAGTGTTCCTGACACAGCCTGGGGTGCCTGTGCATCAGTCTGCTTGCACACAGATATGGCCGCCCTAGGATTCCACCTAGTGTTGGGGGGACTCAGAAATTCCTCCACACCCCTTGGAGGGATGAGGCAACTGCCGAGTCTGCGTGGGTGGAGAGCCAAAGGGAGCCACTGAGTCGTGGGAGAAGTTCTGCTGTGGGCGTCTTTAGCATAGACCTGTTTTGCTTTGGAAAAAAAAATGAAAATCACAGTCAGTAGTCAAGTTGTCTTGTGCCAATAATTACTGAGTCAAGGGTGTGTGTGTGTGTGTGTGTGTGTGTGTGTGTGTGTGTGTGGCAACAACCCCTTGTCTTCAAATGCATCTGAGATTTCATCCAGCTTGTCCACCAGCCTCAGATTTCGGTACTGGATGCCAGAATCACACTCAGTGGCCAGGTGACAAGAGTTATCATTATGGAAATCAGAGGAGCCAGAGGCTGGTACAGGATCTCACTCCTGCAGATTTGATGCGTGTGCTCCCAATATAGGAAGTTACTTAAGGTCCTACCTTCTGTATCTATTGCAGATGCCATCTGGTAAGAATAAAGAAAACCACAAAGATTAAACATTTATCGAGAAAAAAAAAAAACAAAAACAAAACCCTGACTTATGCACAGTGACTATTTATATTATTGGATGAGACGACACTTAACCAGATTGGAATACCTATTTTTTGGCCACAGTACCTTTTTCCAGTGTCCAGAATGGTAAATTACTATTAACAAGAAAAAAAATATGAAGAAAGATTATCTTTGATGATCTAAATGCTTCCCTGATAAATGCATTTTGGCAAATACATTCATATTAGTGAAGTCTTTCTAAACACAAACGGAAATAGTTCTGTTTCTATTTGTAACAATTTCATCAAATGAACTTTAAAGTTAAAATTAGAATGGTTTGAAGGAAAAGTGCATTTTATTTTATTACTTTAAAATTTTTAATGTTTGTTTATTTTGGGGAGAGAGAGAGAGCATGGCCAGCAAGCATGAGCGGGGGAGGGGCAGAGAGAGAGACCCAGAATCGCAGGCTCCAGGTTCCAAGATGTCCAGAGCAAGATGTGGGGCTCGAACCCACAAACAGAGAGATCATGACCTGAGCTGAAGTCATGCTCAACCAACTGAGCCACCAAGGTGCCCTGAGAAGTGCATTTTAAGAAGAAATGACTTTCAAACAGAACAGTTGAAGTTGAATATAATCTGACCACTTATAAAACTCTTCATCATTTCTTCTACTTGTTTAATTTTTAATATTAGTTTACTTTTTAAAAAATCGGCTGCAGAATATAGGAAGTTATATTTGCTGTATACTTTTATCGTTGCCTAATTATGATTGTAAGTAAGAATTAGTCTTCCTATTCATCAGTACATTTGCCTCTATTGTAATCAAGAGACATAGAGTTAATTTTTTTCTTAAAGGATGGATGTGGATGTTGGAGTATAGCTGAGTAAGGTGGGTTTTTTGGTAAATTCAGCAATTTAATTACTCAGCATTTTGATTTTTCTACCCTTTCCTTGCTTGGCAGTTCCTTCCTACACAACATGCTGCGGTATTGGTGAGTCTTTCCTGAGCAGTTGAGCAAATCCTGCCCATCCTCTTAATTTAAATAACCCCTCACTTCACATCTCAAATCATTTATCTGATATTCTCAGTTCAACCTGCTTTGGAAACTGGGATAGTGGCATGCATAGTGGAAATCCATAGATAAGTGAATTAATAAATTTATTCAATAATTCAGTTTTTGCTAGACATGCTAATAGAGTAACTTTGAATTTTGCCCTAAGCACCTGGTGCATGTACTAATACGTAAATAAGCAAAAGAGCAGTTCCCGAAGGAAAGCAGCAGTGACAGTGCACAGGAAGATGTATCCGAGCATAATGAAGAGCTGGATGTGTCTCACTTTACCTGCAGGACAGAAAAGCATGTTCTAGGTCCATGAGGATGAAGCAAAGGGAAGGTTAATTCTTAGAAGCTCATCTTTCACCATACTGATAAATAATTCTGGTGCATTTTATTATTAATCTTATGAATATATACAGTTTTAGTTTTGTGACATAGGAGGACA